CCCACCCACAAAACAAAACAAAAAACAAAACCAAACCAAACCGGAAAAGGATGCTTCGTCCTGTTCCTGACGTTTCCTGGCTACGCCCAAGTCAAGTCCGTGCTGCTGATGGACCTGGTGGAAGAACTAGACACGTCCATCTCCACCATCACCGCCCTCATGTCCGCCGAGTCTTCTGCCTACGTCATAGCCAGTGAGTGGTTGCTGTACACGTCACAATTGGTCCGCTTTTAAGGACAAACCGGCTAACCCAGATTTCGGGGTTTTCTTCCAGAATTCTTGACCTGCCCCAAAAGTGAGCATTGCCCTTCCTATAGGAAAAGTTTGGTTTCATTGGTGTGTACGTAAATTGTTTGGTTATAGAGAAAATTTTTCTTGTTTTTTAAAGAAACTGAAAAAGGGGGAAAAACCTACTGTCGATTTTCTCAAACAGCATTTTTCGGGAGAGCCCCCTCGTGCTTAAAAGCGACCCTTTGTGACTGGGTGCGGTCCATTCGAAGGCCTCTACGGCGATGACGTATTCCACCTCAGTGTTTGCAAAGAAGATTGATAGATAGATAGATAGATAGATAGATAGATAGATAGATAGATAGATAGATAGATAGATAGATAGATAGATAGATAGATAGATAGAGATAAACGCCAACTGAAATCGAAGTCTACATGACGTATTTGATAAAAGGTGAAAGGTATTTGCATTCAGACATAAACTGGGGGCTCTTGTGGCCTAGAGGTTAAGGTGTTGGCCTCTCATTCAAAGGTCCCGGGTTCGAATCCGGGTAGCGACCGAAACATTCTCTTCTCTAAAAATTGTCTCCTTTCACTTCCTTTCCTGCTCTCTAGCAATGTTCTGTTGTCTGCTTTCGTTTCCACTTTCTGCCCCCACCCCCTCACCTCCTCCCCCCCCCCCTCTGGGCTCCTGACTCTTTCTGCAGCCTTTCTACTGCTACTCCTTGGCTCCTCCTAACTGCTGTCTTACTGCCACACCCCTGGTCTTCTGGTTGGAAAGATCTACACCTAGCCTTCTCAGACAAGGGTGAAAAATCTCGGAGGGCCGTGTGCAAGTTGCGCACGTTAAAGAACCCTTGGTCGTCTAAAATCGTTAAGAGTAGGCTTCGGCCGCCACCCGGGCAAAAAATACCTACCAACTGAAAATATTAGGTGTGTCCCGCGCGCTCATATGACCTTAAGCAGTTGCGAGCGCCGTAAAAACACTTACCAAAACAAACAAAAAGACATAAACTGACGTCACAATGTGAGCTTCTTTTTTCCCCTTCTCAGCCCAGGTGTCTGTGAATTTGCTGGTTCCTCGCACGTCGGTGCGGTCACTGGCGTTCTTGGCGGCAACGGTCAACATACTGGCCACTTTGACGTTTGCGACTATGCCCGTGCTACCTGTGTTTTTCGTTTGCAGCATTTTAAAATGTGAGTACGGTGTGTTGCACATAGCTGTTGTTTCGTTATAGTAGACCAGGTGGAGTGACAGTTGGAGTTTTATTGATTATTCTTTTAGTTGTTAGCTTATGTGTTTGCCTTGCTGTATTACACATA